CATCTGTGATAGTATATAAGGAAGGGCTGAGAAAAGTTGATATTCTTATAATGATAACTTTTTAAAATTATTTTATTTACTAGCCCAATACCCATCCTACAAACAGGGAAAAGTGAGCTGTAATAGACATTCTTTAACCTGTATAAAATTTCTATATAAATAGCATTTTCAGCAAAGCATCTATTTCTAAAATTCCTTTTGTCATGATACTAAATCCCAATTGGATTTCCTATTCTGGATATAGCTACATAAGAGTTGTTCATGAGAAAAACCAGCAATTTTCTTGAGGTAGATACAAACTTTTGAAAGTGTTTGATCTTGAAATTTGTAAATTGTAAAATCAAAACCGAGTTTGACAGGAAAGTGATGTCTTTGCATTTGGAAATGAACATTTTGTGGTGTGTATTCTTAAGATGAATAAAGAATTTCCTTTATGGGTTCCAGAAAAAAATAATAGCAAAAATATCTGTACTGTTGAGACATTTAATGATATATCTTGTCCCATTGCAATGGCTATTAGCCACATCAAAGTTTTGAAGGTGAACAATGGGTGCACCTTCTTTGACACAGTCTTGATGGAGCCATTTAAAAATAATTTTTTTCTTCAATATGAAGATGCTATTTTAATGTATTTACATCTTTTCCAGTTAACATTACATTAAAATCATGTATATTTAAATGTTTTCATTAATAAAAATTAATTCAGCAATAGACTACATTTACATATTTAAATAATTTTAAATGTTTTTAGTAATTCTGATAAATCTTCAACCAGACTATTTTCATTTATTTAAATAATTTTTTCTTCAATTAAGTATGAAAAAGTTATTTTATTTACATCTTTTTCAATTAAACCAATTAAAATTCAGTATATTTAAATAATTCCATAATGTTTTTAATAACAATTCAAAATAATTCATTGGATGATATCTTACTTATTTAAATAATTTTCTAATGTTTGTATTGTCAATAATAATAAAAATTCCTGTCTGAATTTTTAAGATGAGGAGTTATCATTATTTACATTATTATTGTCCTCATCTTTGTTGGTGTTATCATAACATTTCAGCCATTGTGCCCTACAGTCTTGTTATATAACCCTCAAGGAATTTCAAACTGAACCCTCTGTTTAGCCTACAGTGGTTGATTGTGCTTGTTCTACTGACCATGTCTAAGAATATCTCATCTAGTTCTTATTTTGTACTGCTTAGTTCCCACTGAGTCCAAGTATGCACTACTCAGCTGAGGAAACAACCTCACAATTATTATATCACAAAATTTATGAACCAACACTTTAATCCACTAGGATAATTCAGCAAACATTAACTTGTTAAAATAATTTGGTACAGTTTTTTTTTTTTTTTTTAAATAAGTGACTAAATAAAACAAAAAACATTTTTAGAAGCCTACATTACAATTATTATTCAATTTCTTATACTAAAATTCTTTTTGGCTAACTTATAACTGAATATTGATAAGGCAAATATAAATTATTTGTATACTAATGCAAGAAGAAAAAACTGCTTATATATGTTAGTTTTTGAAATTTTAATTAAAAATAAAAAAACACAGAGGTAATATTTATTAAAATAAGCTTTTAAAAATTGTTATACAAATTAAAATGTTATTGCCCATCATGTTGTAAAGACAATTTGTCATATATATTTTTATTTCAATAAATGGACATAAATAACTTTAAATATTAAAATTTTTATAGAATTTTATAATTTTAAGCTCAGCAACATTAGTTATGTTTTATTGTTGTCTGCCATTTCACATTACAGCAAATTAGTGCAACCAAAAAAAAAATTTACAAAATTATCTAAATAAGTGAAAATAATCTGTTTGAATAGATTTTCTTAAAACTGCATCAAATTATTTTAACAAGTTAATGTTTGCTGAATTAACCTAGTGGATTAAAGTGTTGGTTCATGAATTTGGTGATATAATAATTGTGAGGTTGTTTCCTCAGCTGAGTAGTGTATACTTGGACTCAGTGGGAACTAAGCAGTGCAAAATAAGAACTAGATGAGATATTCTTAGACATGGTCAGTCACAATGGCTGAAATGTTATGATAACAAATACTATATATATATATATATATATATATATATATATATATATATATATATATATATATATAAAGACTGATAATTAAATGATTGTTTATATGTTAATGATGTGGGCTGTTTAATTCTATTAAAGTGAGGACACTCAAAATTTAACCTTACACAAATTTATAAAAGACAAAAGGCTGGCATGAAAGCTTATTGATAAAGAAAGAAATACAGTTTCAAGTCACAGCAGAGACACTTCAGAATCTCCACAATGTTAAACAGATAATATGAGGCATAAATATTAAGCAAAGAATATCATTATGTAAATTTTGAAAATTTTATTATCTTTATATAATTATCTTTTTTGCAATCATTTTACCCCAGGCAAGGTGATAATGTCACTAAGATGCAAAGGTTTACTGAGAGTGAAAGAAACTGAGAAAATTATTAAAGAGGAAATCAGAATAATAAAAAACAGGATTCAAAAAGACAGATGATAATTGACATTGTATTTAATTTTTTGAAGATCACAGTTAACTGGAAAGTAAATGAAAAGTGCAAGAGAAGAAACTGTTAGCATAGACCTTATGGTTACATTTAGCAATTTCAACTGTAAAATGAGACCTAGCTGCCAATCATGTACTGCAATTAAATTTGTGGTACCAAAGAGAAAAGCAAATCAGAACAATTACCATGAAAATATTTGTAGAAAAGTCACAGAAAAGCTAAATTATGGTGACTAAAGCAAAGATACCAGGCCAGCATCAATAACATTGTAGATTTTTCTTTGTTTTTTTATCAAAAATATCTTGATGCATAGAAGTACCAGACTGGACATGAAAGTAATATTCAATGCATAGACAAATGGTAGATTTATAAATATGGCAAGAAAAATTGTCTAGAACAACACAGTGAACTTTAAAATGCAAGTACTTTCGAATAATCCTTTAAATAAAAAAAATACAAACTGGAAACAACAGACAACAGTTTTATAAATGAGGATCTTGTCACTCTATGGATTAACAGTATGATAATGCATACATTATACACTACTAGCGATGGATGTCACCAATAATAGCATTAATATTGCTGGTTGATTCTATGTCTGATTATTTCTTTGTATATAAATTATATGCTGCCTAATGTTATATATATATATATATATATATATATATATATATATATATATATATTCACACACACACACACACAGCCATGATAAAATTTGTTAATAATTTATACTTTAAATAGAAATTAAAGTCTTGTTTAACTCTCATCTGGTCATTTTATATTAACTCTTGGAGAATGGTTAGAACTATAAATCCTGATTCATAAAAAAAAAATCATTCTCATTTCTATAAGTATTTACCTAAAGAAATGCATGCTGACACTTAAGACAATTGTAGCAAATAACCAATGCAATCCTAATGAATTAAAGATTTTTTTTTTTTTTTTAACCCAAGACTTATTTTAACATTTGATTACACCTTTGTCATATTTTTCACTTCATGATAAAAATTTTTTTTAAAGCTTATGAAAAATTTTCAGGAAACTTAAAATTGAACAAAATTCTCACTCATTATGTTAGGATGATCACAAAAAGCTACTTTAAGAATAGAGGGTCAGAATCACTATTTGCCAGAAATTTTTTAAAGATTTTTACAATATTCTTTGTCAAACAAGTTTGTACAATTTAACTAAGATATTTTTAGCTTTTAGATATTTTTATACTAACATTGAATACATTCATTTCAAAATAAGTTTACCTGTGCTTATATCCAAGATTGAGGAAATCAGATATTTTGTACAGAAAGTTTTGATTGATGAAGGCAACAATAACATTTTACCCTCTTTTTTTTTTTTTAATAAACAAAAGCATAGAAAACCAATACCAAGTCACATAGTCCAAAATTAAAATAAGACAATTACATTGTGATTTATGAACAGATGACAGTAAATTCAATACTTAAAATGAAATATCTTCTAAATCATATCAAAAAGTATTAAGTAAGAATTTCACAACTGATTTTTTTTTTTTTAACCAATATAAAATTCTATAGAATATAAACCAGTTTTAAGTACTATTTAGATAATATTTTTATATGAGCTGATTTTAACCTGAAACTAGTCAAGTTCTTTTTATTAGTTCCACAACGCAACACACAAAACCTGCATGATACTACTGGGTAGCAAAGCTGGGGGGTAACCAATACAACATTCGAGAGACCTCTGGTATAAATAGGCAGAGTGAAAAAAATGATTTGACATATGATCTGCAGATTGTACAGTATCACACTAGATGTAGTTTGCTTATTTGTTTAAAAAAAAAAACTATCTTTTTTTTTTATCTTGTGCTTATGCTTGATTAAATGTGGTTTCATTATGATAATCAGAAACATGACTTTCTTTGGATAAAAAATCTTTACTACAAAAATATCCTGCTGACTAAAGAGTTATTTATTGCACCCTCTTGCAACCTAGTTAGACCATCAGGTAAAATACCATTTGTCATGGTTTGAAATTAATGCATCAAACATTTTGGCCAGCAGCAATGAAAAAGGAGCTTATCCTGTAGCAGGATAACACAAGATGCCTAACTTCAAAAGCCTCATGGCAAAATTAGATGCAGTTGAGCATTAAGGTTTTGCTCCATGATTCCTATTCATGAACCTACCAATTACAGATCCTCCCCCTCCTCAATACAGACCCACTCAAAAATGCCTTCTGGCAGTTTATCAATGCTTAAGATCCCAGGTTTATAGCAAAGAAATAAGTTGACCAATCAAGTTATGTTTAAGTTTTTGTCCAACTTCATAATCATAGCATTTATTAACAAGTTTTTGACATTGCACATTAATATATTAATACACAAATTATTTATTATCACAACTAAATTATATAATCAGAGACAAAGAAGATATGCTTGAAAATTCTATACTCACTCTGTTGCTGCTGCCACTGCTGCTACTACTGTCTGTTGTGGCAGTGGTAGTATTGGAGTTCACTGAAACAAGGCTAGCCCTACGCTCCATATGGACTTCATCTAATGATGTTGAATCACTCTCCATATCCCTGAAAAAGTGAAAGGTATTAATCATAAGTTTCATACAACTTTTACTATCAAAGGATTGGATGAATACATATATTTTGAGATATATATATATATATATATATATATATATATATATATATATATATATATATATATATATATATATATATTTATTTAAATACATCTGCAGGTTTGATGGAAAAGCGAAATATAAAAAATCTTCAAATTGTAACAGAAAAATTCTAATATTGATAGAATACAAATTTTGCTGTTACATGAAACTTTAATTTTAAGTTTTTTTTTTAATAAGAGGAGCATATTGATGTTAACTTGCAAACAACAAAGTAAAATTGTCAATTTGACCTCAGTTGATGTCAAAAGTACCAAACACATGATCAAGTAATTCACTCTATAGATAAAGTTAGGTTTCTGTTATTAGTTTAAAAAAAAAAAAAAGCAGATAAACAATTTGTAAAGGGCAGCCTTTAAAAAGTTAAAATATTTGTATTATAAACCTAAACTATTAGTGTTTTATATATTTCAAAATTTAAATGTATTAAAAGTATACATTACTTATACATTACTTAAATTGTCCTATGTTCATTTATTCACATAAAAATTGTTAATCTCAAATTCTTAGTTGTCATAGTATGTAGTTATCCAATTCTTGATTTAATTTTCTTAATTTTTTTTTTGATCAATAAAAAAAAAAAACAAAAAAAAACTTACATTTCCATTTTAATGAATAAGAAAGTCAACTGTTTTAAAATAGGCTTTTCAATTACCAGACACTCCAAATACAAGTCAATGGTCTTACCACCAGAAATGTATGCCACAGCAATATTTAAATTTCCATTGATAATGTAAGCAACAAATAAATAATATACATTTCCAGTGTAAACTGAATCTGAATCCAACCACTATTCTCAAAATAAAATGTTTCCTGTGATTATTTTTAAAAACATTTCTTTTAAACCAAATTTAATCATTTTTCTACAATGTAAGTAATTTCAAATAATTGAAAATGTAACAACTAAATTTTTCATCTCATACTTAATGAAATATATAGACATAGATAAATATAAATATAGAAATAACTCACCTGCTTGTCCTATGAGCAAACATCTTTATTGTTGCTACAGGTTTTGTCAATTGTTCCTTCAAAGCTGAATGTCTGTAAACAAGACATTCCTGGATAAGTTCCCGCATTTTCTTCACCCACTGCTGCTTAGTATCCAGAGAAGATGCCTACACAGAACATATTAAAAAGATATATTAGCTAATAGAAAACAATTCCAATATTAAAACAATTATTAAAAAATATATTTAAAACCTAGTAACTCAAACTTAATTCTAAATATATTGATGAATATTAGTGAAGCAGGCTTTTAAAACAAATTAATAAAATCAACAACATACATTATCAATACTTTTACTCTCAATGGTTAAAAAAAAAAAAAAAAAAACTTTCCATCCCACAAAAATTTTCTATATTTGGGACAATGAAAAAAAGAAGTGCTAATAACATCAAGCCGTTTTTGACATTAACATAAAATTTTTAAAAAATTATGCAAGTTTTTATCTTTTATTCAAATTTTTGCATAATTATTTCCCTTTATAGCACATAAAACTGATCTTTTAGGTGCCATGTTCTTTCAGAAGACAATCGTGACTCTCCACAACTTTCTGTTGCTCTAAGTAACTTAACCTATTATCATCCATACTTGTCAGTTCTGCTATTCATTCATACAGACACATTAAATAAGTTACTTGTTTACCTCCAGTTTCTCTTGCCAGCAAATGTTGAAATTTCCAATTGCTATTTCTTCATTATATGCCCCAAAATTTCAGAGTATCAGTTTATATTTTCTTTAAAACTTTTTCAATTTCTGTCACAGTAAGTTTTTTTTCCATATCTCTTAATACTCTACTCAGTTTCTGGAAGGTACCATTTACTATTCAAATTTTTGTGTTTGTGTCACATTTTCCATCATCTGTTACTACATTACCTATTCTTGTGTATTCACTGAACTCATTCTCTCAGACTATTTGTTCCCAGTAAAAGTTATGAATTACTGAAATATCTTTCCAATTAAGCTTTTCTAGTATTTCAAGTAGCTCATTGTGTCATAGCATATCAAATAATTATGGGTCTTTCTGCATTTTTATTACTCACTCTGATAACACTTTTGTTCCATTGTCTTAACAAAGCCACATTGTTTTTGTCCTATTTTCAGTCAATTCCTGCTACAAGCACTATTCATTAGAATCCTAAAGATAAGTTTATGTGGTCCATCAAACTGAATGCCTAATGGAATTCATATTAATCTTTACCTCATTTCTTTGCAGGGCTACAAAGAGAGATATACAGAGGTCTTCTGGTATCTTACCACTGGGATATTTTATTTATTGCTTTGGTAAAATTATTGATCCCAAAATTGTCTCAAGTTAACAGCATTTCTATTACAATCTCATCTGGTCTTGCTACTTTGTTTCAGTGCTGAATTTATTTCAGATTTTAATGCTAAGTCCTTCTATGTTATTATGTATTATAGGTTTCTCTGCACTGTTGTTAAAAAAGTGCTTGCTGATGTATTCATTCCATCTGTCTATTATCTTCACATTTTTTATTATGAGTGTTCATTTTTAGATTTTATGCATCCTCTCTGTCTTATTTCTTTTTATCTTTTCATGCATACCCGAAATATCTATATTCTGTAGTCTTTCTGCCTGTAGAGGCATTCATCTTTTGCTTACTGATATTTATTTCATGTCTTTGTTTAACATCCTGTATTCTTTGCTGCTATTCTTTGGTATATGATGCTATTCCTTTCATTAGTTCAAGAATTTCATCAAACATCCTTTTTTTTTTATCTTGTCTATTGGGATACCTTCTTTTGCCATTGTCACCAGTGTTTTCTTTTTTTTTTTTAAGTTGTTTCATTTTGACTTAATGACCTCTTCTAAGTTTTTAAATTGGTTATTTTTAATTACATCTGCATATGTTTATAAACTGAGTTGTTGTGGAGTTTGTTGTATAGTTTAGGTGTTGCTTTAAGTGTAATATGCATATCTAAATTTTTTTATTCATTGTTAGGTAATCTATATGATCCTTTACATCTCCTCCTGGGATTTTCTATGTTCACAAGCATTTTCAGTGTTCTTCAAAGGAGGTTTTGGTTAATACATTGTTATTTGTTGTTCATCAATAGATGCATTTTCCCCACAAGATTTGTGCAATTCCAGTCTATACGTGCCATCTATTTCACTCTATTGTTCCTTCCCTATTTTTACATTGAGGTTCCCCTTGATAATCATTATTTTCACTTCTCTCACCTCTAGTAGATATGCTAATGTGATGACCACCTGTAAAATCCCCATTGTTCTTCCATTTCATTTCATGTACTCCCAGAATGTTGATATTTAACCTTTCCATTTCCTGTTTTACATTTACTAACTTCTTAAGTTGGTAGTGTCCCTATATTACCAGAGGTTTACAGAAATAATCACATCTAATAATTTGTTTTCCTGAAATTTCACCTAAAATTTTGAGTAAAAACAATCTCTTTAGAAGGAAAATATATACAACCACAAAAGCATAATTCAGTAATTATAAAAGGATTGAGAATATTAACTGAATATCTGACTTGATAATATACAAAGAAAATTAGGCATTTTTCACAATGTGAACAAAATATAAGGACAACTAATTATAAATATATATGTACTCTTCTTTCAATGATATTTAAATATAATTAGTAAATAAACTTATATTTGCCTTCACTGTAAAAATTGATGCAATTAAATGCAGGAAAAGTTATTTTAATATCAAGATTTTTAAAAATTAAAAAGAGAACTTAAAACATAAAAATATAATTGTCATCATTAGAGAGAGTAAGCAGATATAAAACACAAATTTAATATTCTAAAAATATATTTTAGTTGGGTTTTTACAAGAATACATTTAAAATTCATATTAATTATTCCCACTATTGTTACTTGTTGCTTTGCAGACAAAATGAATAGAAATTAGTTTAGAGAATTGAAAGATAGTTTTTAAGAGAAAATTTAAAAATATTTATAACTTAGCAATTTGATGAATATCTAAATAGATGAGAATTATTTTTTTAATTAGAAATAAATTCAAATAAGTATAAAATATATTTGAGAATAAATATAATGGATGAATAAGAATCTACTTTTTTAAAATATGAAAAAATTTTTTTATATTTTCAATATTAGAAGTAAAAAAAAAAAAAAAAGAAAAAAAGAAGAGAATAAATAATAAAGTAAGTAATTTTCCTCATACATATACTTCTTAAGATTTAATAATAAAAGTGACATATTCAATGAACAACTATTAATTGTTATTAGTTTCCCCCCCATAATAAAAGCTAGCTGTTTGTAAAAAGACTCTTCTCTTCCCCTCTTTTCATTTACATTCATCCTGTTAGTTTCCCTATTTCTGGATTTTTGTTCTCATTAAAAGCACATACTAATATTTTTTCTTAATGAACCAAAATATATTGTATTGTGCTAGCTGCAGTAGCATTTCATTTTTCTGTTCAATGTGATTTAACAGCTTCACATATCAATATAATGAGCTCTCTTTACCAATTTGTGCTGCACCGTTTCTCTAATTCAGGAACATTATGCATATGCAGTTGGATTTCATTTTGCCTTATTTGCTTACTCTTTTTCATTTTTGTCCTATTATGTGATATAAAAAGCTCAATCTAACAAAATCTGTTTACTAGTAATATAGATGAGCAAATACACGATATAATCAGAACTTGTACATTAAAAAAAAATTTGAATATCAAATAAAATTTAAACTCAAGACATTTTATCATTAATAACCACCACAGATCATGTCTGCTATAATAACTATTTCATCTCCAAACATGCACGTCTTTCATATATATTTTTATGGGAGAGAGAGAGAGAGAGAGCAAACTTAGTACAAGACTATATACAAGAGGCATTGAAAAGTTCTGTTCAATGCACTTCAAAAAAAAAAAAAAAAAAAAAAAAAAAGAAACTATGATGTTTGAACATTGAAATACTGATTTGGGGAGTAAGGCTGAGGATTTTACAGCAACACCTTGTGATGTTGATGTGCACTGAACAGTACTAACAGTTTAGATATGTACATGTTTAAAAATTTTTTAAAAACTTTTCTTCATATTCTTATAGATGGCTACAAGCATAATTAATTTTTATGCATTCAAAATAAGTGTACCATTTACTTAAACATATGCAAGAAAATTTTAAGTTGTGTTAAACTCATAACTAACTTTTCAAAAAGATTTTTGCCAAGATAAAAATATACAAAGTAAGAATTTTATTTTTAAACAAGTTTAATGTAGAAGTAAATTTTAATTTAAAAATGAGGCAACAGTCATAACAATTTTCAAATAATGCAATTAACTTTGATGAAAATTATTAAAAGTAAAAAAATTGTTTTTCTCTTAATATGTTGCTCCATTTTCATTTTTAAAACTAATTACTTTTAAGCAAAATTTTACACTGTATTCTTAATATTTCAAAATTGAAATCTTTAAAATTTTTTAATAAATATACCTTTAAAATTATTCTGTAATCTGAAATTGGTGCTCTCCCAGTCCACAAGGCAAATTTACATTCATCTCCTTCAATGTGCTCTGTGATGTTAATGTCTGAAATCTACAAACAAAAATTAAGAACAATTTTCTAATTTAGTACATGTAAAGCACAATTTGACCAAAACAAAAACCAGACATAAATTAAAGTTCTTCAAAATGGATCAGAGATTGTATAAAATATAAATAAAATTATTTGAATATTTTTTGACTTAATGCATAAGAGATCTTAATGTACTTTCTGTTCAGAAGGATACAATCATTGTATTCAAATTTCTATTTTCTTTTGCTTCCTACCTCAAACTTTAATCATAGCCTTTTCACCCACTAAAAATATACACAAAATAAGCACACAGAATGCTACCAAAAACTTTGGTTAATTGGAACAGTGGGTACAAAATAAATGTTAACACTACCATTTGTGAACAATAACACTTAATTTTCAGTCACCTTCAAATTCTTCAACATTTTTGGGTAGCAACTTAAAAATTAATATTTTTATAATTGTATTGCTTACTAGAAAAACTAGGAACAGAAAACACCTTGTTTTTTAAAAATCAAATAAGTCTATTATTCTTAAATAAAATTTGCTAGTCAAGCTTTAATGATATACATTTTTATGCTTTTTCAATCAAGTTTTTTATTGTGATGGTTTAGAAATTATAGTTTTTCATCCAAAATGGCTCAAAAACTTTTCCTTGGCTATTTCCAGGTTTAACATATAATTTTGTTAAAGAATTTAGTAAACGCTGCAAAGTTAAATATTGAAAGAGGACATATTTTAAAATGAGACTGGCAAACATTTAGTAGTTCTTTACATATAAATATTTCATGTATATTCAAATGTAACTAAAAAAAAAAAAATGCCTATTTTAAAGTCATTCAAAGTTCCATGCTTATGAAGTAATTATAATTTTATCACATATATGTCTGTAAACCAGATTATTTGAGAATACACCTTTAGCAGGACATAAATGGAAGATAATTCAACAATGTTATGTAGCATGGGCCAAATTTAAATATACCATGCTTATAGCACTAGCTATCAACCAAATCAACTCAGAGATATCAAGTTTCTTAGAAGTGACCAATTGAACAGGCGGAATGGTACCAAATTCAAATCTCTGAGCAACAAGGACCATGTCATGCCATCCAACTTCTTTCTGTGGGACCTCAGGGTCAATGTTACCACATGCATAAAGGTGTTGGATGCAGTCAAGCCCTGGATTGAAGAGGTGGTTATATATATATTCCAGCAGGATGACTTCATTCCACGTGGTCCATATGATGCAGCAGTGATTGCTCGAGAATTTTCACATCACACATGCAGCCTTCGAGCCTCTTGGATTTGAATCTCTTGGACTACTATGACTGGGACATCATCAAGAGAGAAACTAACCAGTGGCTTCATAATAACAAGTACTCATTGAAGACCAGCATAGAGGTAAAGATGGACAACATGAAAGAGAAGCATATGATCCAGGCCTGTGGTCATTTTTCAGAGTTGTACCAAGGCTGTCCTCAAAAATGACAGTGGTTTTTTATTGAATAACCCTCCTCTCAGTTGAACATAAGTACAATTTTTTTTCTTATTTTCTGTGGAAAACATACAGATTTCTTGTATTGAACAGCTTTATAATTTCTTCTCAATTATGTGACACACCCCGTACTGTCTTAACACTGGAATCAATAAATTTTATAATTTCCCCAGCATATTTAAAAGTTTATGATTATTTCTCTTTGAAAGAACAATAAGCTATGATCATGATATCCCATTTATTTGAAATTATAAGATGTTGCTTAAATTTTGTGTAATTACTTGAAAAGAAAATTAAACTGATTCACATCATTTAGTGTAATTAATTTTGTGATTTCCCAAAACTTTAAAAAGAAGAAAAATATTCTTTATAATATCTGCTTTAGCTTCATCCAAGTCTTCACTATTTATGGAGTGGAGTAGATAGTATTCATCTTTGTTTCTGATTGTTCTTAAAAATGTCCCTTGTGGAAATGTTCCAAACTTTTAGCATATTATTGTATAATTTTTAACAATGACAAATCAAGTTTGATTGTTAGAGATACAGGTATAATCAATTTCAGTTTTTTTTTTTTGATAAATAATGAAAATACTGTTTGATATTATAATTTTAATAGCCATGAAAATTAAGTGGGTGTAAATGGAAAATTAAATCAATTTAAAATATGTATCAAAACTATTATTGTAAAAATGTCACTAAGTATATTGTGGCATGATTTTGAAAATATCAAAAATACTTACCAAAAGCTTTGATTTATACATATATTTAGATTTGCCATTACTGTCTTTGATTTCTTTAGCAAATACTAAACACATTTCAAACAAGAATATATGCCGTTCTCTTCCTTTTTTAATTAAATTCTTTGGATCCCAAACTGTGAAATTATCTTGTAGAAGCACTTCTCCAAGAGCTTCTAGGCTGTCCTGCATATGTACATGAACAAAGAAATGAGAAAAATCAAATATGAGGACAAGAATTTATTTTATCTTAATGCAAACATAATTGAAAAAATAGTACTCAGCATCTACAAAATTGTCAGAATTGTTTAGATACATGCAATTTAAATCTGAATACAAATATACATTTTAACATAATCAAGTTTCTTTAGTTCCATGTCAAGAAAATTATTAAAACACAAAATAAAAAAATACAATAAAATACAAAAATGTTACCACATAAAAATAAAATATTTCCATTAATGACATGTTTTGATTCATATAATTGAATGAAGACCATGAGGTAAATTCTTGAAAAATTATAACATTTTATTTCAATTGGTTTTAGAGAAAATAGTCTTTAGTGATACTTTTCATTCGTTTGATTTGCAGTATTAATATTTTTTTTTTTAACTGTACAATGGTAATATTTTATGAATACTAAATTTACTGGTACAATATAATATACTATTAAAATAAGGTATCACTGTAAAAATTGTCTTTAAAAAGGTTGAAGATGTAAGGGAAACAACTCTGGATGAATTTCATAATTTTTATCATGTTCTAAAAACGGCCTGTCATTGATCATTCAAATGTAAATTACTAGTAGCTCCAAAAGATGTTTAATTTATATATCAGTATTCAGCAGTGAATAAGAATAAGGTTAACTCAGAGGAATAAGTATTTATTGAAACTTGAATTCAAAAGACAAAGCAAATCCTCAATGAGAGCCAATTATATGCCATAGCTTTTTGTTTATGTAACTTATATCTAATACTAATAGCTATAACTAGAAAAATATCTTTATAAATACTAATGAAAAAGTAATATATTTTTAAAATGAAAATTAACATTCCATATGAATATAAATCAAGTTTCAAATCCATAATTACTCCAGTAATCATTTCCAATATAAAATGTTTATATATCTATATTAAGAAAATTATAACAGTATAAAGAACTAACAATACAATTTAATATCAGTTTGTAAATAACAATGTTTCCTAATTTTTAGTTAATGCCTTTTTAGTCATTTGATAGAATGGAAGTAAAAATGGTTTGAAATGTAAATTTTAATATCACATGGGTAAGAAATATTTACTTGATTATCCTTCTAAATTCTTAAGAAAATTTAGTGAAAAAGCATTTGAATTCCTTGCACAGAAATACAAATCAGTTAAAAATGAATTCAACTAATTCAGAAGACAAACTGACAGAAAAAGTAATGTAATTTTATAAGTATTAGATAAAGTATGTCCAACCCAAAAATCTGTTTTTCCTATTTTAAACAGTTTTATTTCTACTGACATTTTCAGAAGAGACCAAAATAGTGAAACATTTCCTAGGTGAAAACAGCAGATTTAAACATGTATTTTATTTGTAGAGATTTTTTTAAAAATAAACAAAACACATTTACAAAGCAAATTGATATAATAAAAACATACTTTACCTCTAAACCTTCTAACATGCTTAAATGCATAGCATCATTGGCTTTCTTGGGCACACTTAACATAACATCTAAACCATCCTGGAAATGACAAAAAGAATTTAATGATAATGAAGGGAATATACTAATTGATTGTCTAACCTTCAATACTCTTTAGTTTGACATTTTGATTTTTAAAAAATTCAAACAAATATTTATGTTATACATTTAAGAAAATTCTTCATTTATATTAAATTTGCTGCTTCCTAAAATGGTTAGAGAGAAAATATCCTTTAAGAACAAGAGAAATGCTTTATCTGATAACAAGTAACAATAATAATTACCTTTATTTCCCCAGTATCATTCTCACAGCAGGATAATAGATCTTTAAGCAGTAACTGGTATTTGGTAATCCTCTGGACTGGTTTGATTAAGTAAGATGATAGTGGCTCACTGAGTTTGTGTTTCTGTTGTATTTCCTGAAAAGTTAAATTTTATTTAAACAAAATTCTATATTTAACCATGCATTTTAGATAGACTTAAGAATGGCTTTCAATAAAAATACTTGTGCAATTTATCTTGCAAACCACAGAAAATCTCAGATTCAAATATATGACCTTTAAGAAATTGACTATTTACAGCTCACATATACCAAAATGTATTCTTTGGTTTTGTCAAAAACAAATAAAATTCAAGATAAAAAATTTAATGTACAAAATAATTTTTTCTAATATACCTGAATTAATATGCTTAAAAAGGGTTTAAAAATAATAGCATTTTCATATACTAATTCATTCAGATTTCTGAATTAAACAGCAATATCCAAGACATTAAAAATGACATCATATGCAATCATGCACTGATAAAGAAAAAAAAATATGAAAGGCTCTAACAGATACAAAGTTATTTTTTTTCCTAAATCAATCCAGCAAAATCTATGTAAATTAAATACAAAAATGTTTCTTTTTAAAATTATACTTTTAATATATTTTTTTAAATTATTACTCAGTTTTAAACAAGCCTGTAGTTATTACAAAATTTTAAATATTTTTAATTTGTAAAGAATTTATTACAAAATCAAAGTAAGCATTAAATTTGTTAATGTACCTTAATAGGGTTTCTATATTTAAAAATGGTAAAAAATCTTGTATTTTTTCTAATATTACTGATTGTCTTGGTACATTTAAACTAATTAAAACCTAAATTCAAGAAAATTGGCAGCCAGATAAATAAGCATTAAAATATATCATTGTTAAAATATCTTATGGTTTAATTCTTTTAGAGTACTACACTAATACGCATTTAAAAGTCCTTAAATGAAAAAAATAGAATAAAATAAAATCTTACTTATTATAAAACGCAGATTGTGTGTGTGTGTGTGTGTGTGTGTGTACGTTTATATATTTGATTGGATTTCCTACATTTTTCAACCAAATTCAACAAAACTTCACAGGACTACGTAAAATTACCTTGTTCTAACAGTGCCAAAAATTGAAAAAAAAAAACCCAATTATTTTTGCACGAAATCAATTTGAAAACACGATTAAGAGGCATCACGAGAATGAAAGGGGGACAACCCATAACGAGTTATACTTATTATAAAACCCAGGTTGGTTGGTTGTGTGTGTGTGTGTGTGTGTGTGTGTGTGTTTATATATGGGATCGGATTTCCTACATTTTTCAACCGATTTCAGCAAAACTTCACTTTTTTCTTTTTTGGCAGGTAGTGTTTCTTATTGTCTGGCACACTTTTTTCTTTATTTTTACATTCATAATGCTTTAAAAATTCCATTTTCAAGACAATTGTTTATAATAAAATTCTATTCAATCGGTAGACTCATAACAATTGAAAACAATGTTTTTGTTTGAGTTTGACCAATTCATAAAAAAAAACTAATTTAAGACATGTGTGTCTGTCAACCTGAAACAATCTTTGTCAATTTTATTTTTCAGTCTTTATGATGGTTGATACTTGATCTATCTCTTACTGTTACATCCCCGGGCAATGCCGGGCTCTACTGCTAGTCACCAATAAAAAGCAGGCAAATCATTGATTTAAAAATAAGATTTAGAACTAACCTCAAAGAATGTTCCAGCATGTTCTACAAGCAATTGACTGGAATCTGGTTTGTTTTTGCAGTATGTTACATAAATAGAGAATTTTTCAGCCTGAAAAAGAAAAAGTTATTTTTCACATTTTTTAAATTCTTTATCAGAAATTGGTAGGAAAAAAAATGTGCTGTTATTGGGTGGACTATTATTAACAGGATTTGGTTACTGGATTCTTTCATTATTATGTCAAAATTTGAAAAACTATAAAAAGAACAAGAGTATAGTGAACAGCAGATGTTTCTGAAACAGTCTAAAATTGTTTAGTTAGAATTTTGACATCACTAAGTTTATACTATATAACTTTTATAAAATGAAGAGTTTTCATAGAAAATTTCTTCAATTTCAACTTAAAATAGAATCAAAACAGTCAACTATAAAACAAGTCTATCAATAGTAATTTGTTTATATAAAAATGAACAATGTAAGTACATCAGTTGACTGATCAATTTAAGATTTAAATTGTTTTTTTTCTGATAGCAGTTTCATTAATTACATTAAAGAACTCTTCAGATGACTCAAAAAAAATGCAAGTTTTTGACTTCCAAAACATTTAGGCAAAACAAAATCAAATGATTAAAACCATAATAATTTCAAATGTATAAATATTCGAATTGGCAAAAATGTCATTTGGTTTATTAAAACAATTTTTTTTAATTTTCAGCATTATCAAATATTTTATTCCACTATCTTTTACCTTTCATGTAGATTTATAATTTCATCCTAGCAGAATTTTTTATGTTATTTTTTTTGAGCAAAGAACTGCACAATACTTTTACAATATTCTACAGAACTGAAATTATTAATTTCATTTAAAACAATTCTGTAAAGAGCTAAATAAAAAGTATCTAAAGTTGCACTATTTTCTGAATATGTCCAACCAAACTAAAATTTTACCTGCTTAGCAAAAAACAGAAAGTTTTACATTATCCTGATAATTAAGAAAGAAAGTATAATATTCCTATTTCAGATGTACTCATTTTGCATTCAGTTGGCCTAATTAGGAATAGTATTTGTTTGAATGGTTGGGTTTTCTTGAGAGTGTTCATCATAGAGCATTCCCCACCAATCCCACCATCCATACAACAGTACATTCTTTGGTGAAACTAACTTTTGGTATGGTTAATGATGGTTCATTTTGTTTGCCTAATGATATCTTGCATTCCACATATTTGTAAAGTATCCACTTTTCATCAGTCACAAAAAAGAAGAAAAAGAAAAAAAAGAAAAAAAAATGAAAAATTTTGAAAGGCTTAAGTTGTAATTCACACAAATATACAATCTAGTAATATTTTTTTTTAAACTCCTGCAGAACCAAATAACACAAGTTAGTGGAAATGTTTGATTTGGATATTTTGAATGTTACTTATCTACCAATTTATAAAATGCTGATTTTTCCCATATAATGATTTGATCACTATCCACATCAACTAATCTAACGGACCATGGTGTATTTTTAAACAAGAAATTTCCAACATGAACTATCACAAACCACTTAATGTTCACTCATTCATTGTACTTTTTCACTTTAAAACATCAGAAAAAAAGTTGATCATAGCACTAAAAAGAGATTTCTTAATTTTAAAACTGTGAAATCTAAGTAAGCATATTATCATTTGATAATACATAATTGCATTGGCAATGTTAAAATGTATTACTTTTACTGATAATTAAAGTATTGTAATTAATAAAAATTATTATTGTTATTGATAATATTTATTGTAAATTTTTAAAAAAATAGTTTATTTCATTATTTTTTGTTTAAGTTTTCATGTTATAAATTACTTTATTATTTTGAAAAAAAAAAAAAAAAAAAAAAAAAAACTTCCTGAAATTTGCAAAGTATAAATTATAACTACAGTACCCATGTAAAATTATCTGAATGTTTCTCCACAGTAGCAAATCTATATTCCCAGTATTAAAACTGAATGTCATATGATGAGCAGCATTCTAGTTTATATAGATTCTGAAATTATGAAGGACTCAAAATAAGAATTAATCAGCACAGAAAACTTACCCAAGTAACAAAACAATGCCCAACATCTTCAGGAATAGTTTCATATTTTTCTAATTCTTTTAAAAACGTCCTGTAAAAAAAAAAAAAAAAGTTAAAACATTAGCAGTGAAAGATATCAGAATTTAGAACTTAATGGTTAAGATATTAGAAAACTGTAGAATATTTTCATGAATAAAATTAAAGTTGCAAAATTGAAGTTTTTTTGTTTTTATTAAACTTTAAAACAATAAAATCATTTTAATATCTTTTGGTAAAAATGGACAAAATCATTTCAATAAAAAACATAAAATTATAATAATAAATAAATAAAAATCTTCAAGCATCAAAAACTTTTTTTTTTACTGAAAGTTAAATGATGAAACTTACTTGTCATGGAACTCATAAATTTCCTTTATATTACTAAATATGATACTGTCTTTGTTTTCAATTCCTGGTGGAATGTTATTTTGTTGATTCAACATTTCACCTAAATAAAACTGGAAAATAATATTTCATGAGTTGGAAGTTCAAAGTACCAAAAATAAATAATTATTTCACATTTTTTAAAAACAGGATAAAAAAATAAAATTAAAAAATCTTTTTGTATATATTAAAGTGAGTAAAGGCTATTAGTTAGATTTTTACAAAAGCAATTATTTCATAAAATGTCTTAGAAATCTAGTATTACATTTTCTAATAAAACTGTTGCAAGACTTAATGTTTTATCATAAATAAACATCTTAAATATGTTATTTGCTTTTAACTTAAGATCATAGTGAACTCAATTTTAAAGAAGTAATACCTCCATTCCACAATAAATGACCAATTCCACTCTTTCAAAAATAGTAAATCTATTTACTTATTGTGGTACAAGATATTTATAATGATTTTAACATTACAAATTTACAATATCTGCTGATTTTAACATTAAATATCTAACCAAAAATGGTATACGGGGTCCAAGATACTTAAATTTTGCTAGACATGTGAAACCAGTTTAGATTGTAATCTTAATCATTTGTAGAATTGAATAACATTCTTTATCTGAATATTGGTAAATTTCCAACTAACGGTTAATTATGAAACCACAATATATAACAGATGCAACAAATTGTAAATTTTATGTTAAATGGTGCAAGGATACTTCATTAATACTTTGAATATATGCTCTTTAGTGCTAGAAGGCATTGTCAGTGATGTTCCGATTTGGATCATTGGGCAGTTTCGGGCCTTTCAAACATCATATTACCCTCACCAAGTCGACCCCCATCAGAGCTGATCAGTCTCTGATGTGCCCCCATTTTAAATTAACAGACTGCAGACACTAACTTATATTAGGCAAACCATAACCCACTATCATGCATTTGATTGGAAGTTGACCAACAGCCAATCAAAATGGTGTGAGCTCTATTTAAGTTGTTTATGGGGGATTTTTTTTACTTTCTCTTTTTTTATGCGGATACCCTATCATGGGATACTCAGAAGGTAATTAAATGTTTTCAGTTCCCCACCCTTTTCCTCCCCTTCCTTTTTTCCCCATCCCCTATCAAGTTTCATCTTGCCAGCTAATAATTACTGCTATTAATAAGAGAAAAAAAAATCTAACCATAAAATAATTAAAAATTTACATTGTTTGTACAATTAAAATAAATAAATTATGACTTATGCTGTGTGTTAATGTGAAAATAAATATATAAATGTTGTTTAAAACATGTCAAACAAGTAAACTTAGAAAATTAATTTAAATCTATTGATTAACATGGTAAACTAATGTATAAGATTAACAATTAAAATTAAATTTATGTTTTTTGATCGTTATGAAAAAACAAGAACAAACTAAGGCGAAAAAAAGAGAAAATACTTTAACAAAGTATTAGTCACAATTAATTATAATTCCCATGTAGTTCAATAGTTGGTGACAGAAAAAATAAAAAGGAGATAAAATAAAAGTCAAAAGACTTCTATTAAGCAATAAAGGACGAAAATGGGAGGAAAGAATATCGAAAAATAAACCCCTTTTGAACATGATGATGTTATGCCTTTATTCTAGATGCTGATATATTGAAATAAGAGTTAATATGTGATATAACTCTTTCAACATTTAAGCAAGAAGTAAGAAAAAAATAAAATGATAATGAATAAAGTTAAAATAGATTAGTTAGATAAATAAATAAGTTATTAAAAAAAAAAAAAAATTTCATTTATTCTTTCCTTCCCCGAGGAGGAAAATTGTGGAAGTTCATATATATTATAGACAACGGCTAGTTAAAGAACATATATATATATATATATATATATATATATATATATATATATATATATTTACAAATTAATACGGCATTTATAATTAGTTATAAGCTGTGACATATCTTTATACTATTTACATTTAAATAATATACAATTTAAGATTTTCAAAATTACACTATGTGTAAAATAAAGAATTTACAAAAAAAAAAATTAAAAAAATAGTTTTTATCTATCTCAAACTTTTTTCCCTGATTGCTTGTCCATGCACTGGCTCGTTTTAGCCATAACCATTCAGCTGTTCTTTCTGCTGTCTCAGTAATGGTTTGGATAGCCTTTCATTTTTTTCGTTCCCACTATCCCAATATCTATTAGGGTGCTGACTAGTGGTTTTGCTACAAAACCCCTTGTGCTTACTTCAATTGGCTTGCAGCTTGCCTTCTATCTATTGCTCCTACAGTTTTCCAGTAATTTGTCATATTTTAGTTTTTTTCTGTTCATTCGCTTCTTCTGCATTATCCTCATAACAGACTGTTAATTCCCACATAATGATTTTCTTTAGCTTATTTGAAAAGAGGACTAAGTCTGGATGCAATAGGGTCTTGCTTGAAAATGTGATCTGGGAAGTTTAATCTTTTACCTATATCCAGTCTGTTGCACATGATAGACAATTGGGTGTAATCATTTTCTTTGGGTTTGGTTTCACGTCAGCTTTAATAAAATTTATAAAATTCTTGTTTGAATTAAGATGTTTGTACAGATGGCTGTACTAACGACTTCTGCTATGTATTAATATTTGATCATGGCGCCATCTATACCTACTATCAGCCAGCGCTGATTTGCAGCTACTAAGTATGTGTTTTAATGAACCTATTTGACCACATAAGTAGCATAAGGGCAATTCCGATTTAGTCCATAGTTGTAGGTTAACTGGGCTTGGGAGAAGGTTGTAAACTGCTCAGATTAAAAAGTTCATGCCTATTTCGTTACGTCATAGTTCAGACCATGTAACTTTCCTGTGAATCATTGTTTCCAATTTTGTCCACACTCCTGTTTGTTTTAACCCAATCATCTTTGCTGCTCTCATTTCCTCTTCCCCTGTGTGAATTTTGTCCAGTAAGAGTCTGTGTTTTTCTTTGCCTATGCTTTGTCAATTGTGTGGGGAAAAAAAACAAGCCCTGCACAAAGAGTACCCAGTACCACTTTTTCCCCGAAGACGCTCTTCTGCCAATTTCATCTCCTTTGTCGCATTCCATTTTCTCCCAATGTAGACTTCAATATTCGCTCCTGTCACTTTTGGATCCTTGGAGAACTTATATTGTATTACTGTTTGCGCTTTAGTGAATTTGTATTCTTCTACAAGGCTTTTAAGTTGAAAAGCATTGGAATTACCGTAAAGGGCAGTACTGCTGAGACACTTTGGTAGACCTAGCCATCTCTGTAAACAAGTGTTGATCTTTTTTTCTATCTGTTCTACAGAAGTAGTGAACTCATAGATGGACAACAGCCACAATATCTTGGGAAGAATAACATGCTGATAAATCCATGCCTTATATCAACCGGGTAAGCCAGACTTGTCTACTTTATCTAAGCAGAATTCTAGGATGTCCTTTGTTTCATGGATTGCGACAGAGTCCTTCAGGGTATTGTCAAAATGCTTACCCAATTTCTTGAGGGTTTTGCTTTATAGCCGGGATATATTCACCGGACAATTTAAAATGATCACTCTGTTTTTCCTTTTTTCAACAACAGTGACCTAATTCTAATAAATTAGAATTAGAAAAATGTTGAAATAATTGCAGTATAAAATAAAGCAAACTTAAGTTATAAAACTTGGTGAAAATGCTCAATATTTTATATTTGAAAATCATGGCAGAAAAAACAATCTAATATTTGATTAAAGATTGTTAATTGGTGTTATCCAATGAAATCAATATTCTTAAAGAATGTGCATTAGAAAATTCATTTTAAGCAATCAGCTTCAATGATATTTGTAAAAACAAATGTACATCTTTAAGCCATTTTCTAAATTATCAATGTATTTCAAGTTTAAAATTTAAAAAAAGATTTGTATTCAGTAAGTAAGAATACACGCATATTAATTCACACACCAAAAAAATGTATTTACCTTCATGCAGTTTTCAAGATCCTTTACATAAGATCTTTCTGTCTGTAATAATTCAGCCATAATAAATCTGAAAACACAACATAATGAAATTTCAGATAACTCAACACTTGTAATTATAAATTTAATAGATTCATAAATCAACTAGAATGTGTTTTATATATATATATATATATATATATATATATATATATATATATATATATATACACACACATCGTGAAGTAATGGGTATCAGATTAGATCTATTCAGATATTCCAATAGAGTTTGTTACAGCACTTACATGAAAATACCTTTGGGGAAGATACGAATCCATCTTTTCTCCACTCCACAGATATGAGTAAATCACAGGACAGACAAGGCTCTATAGCCTTGGGTGGCAAACTGTCTAGGAGGACAATTATGGTTTAAATACCTTCACCAACCCACAATTGGCCAAGTGTGGCAAGTACAGCTACACCCCTGAAGTCAATCAGGAAGGCATTCCACCAACAGGAGTGAGAAAACTTATATATATATATATATATATATATATATATATCTCCTGACAATTGCATTTAACATGAAAGAGATTGTCACCTCTGGATGTTGACATCAATGTCAACTTTATTTAATATATATATATATATATATATATATATATATATAAATAAATAAACACACAGTAGCTTATCTGCTGATTAATCCCAAAAGAAATTATATACAAATTATTCATAACAAAAAATATAGATTCTTTAATTGCACATTAATTCTGTCAAAAAACAAAGAAAGAAAGAAAAAGAAAAGAAAAAAAAAACAAAAAACAGAATACATGACCCAATCCTTAGCAAATCCAATTTTTAAATAGTTGAATATAATAAGTTACTTTGATATATGACATTATTATTGTCAATGACTGGTGAAATCTCACAGAATATTCAAAATGATCTTTGCTGTAAAATAAAAATAAACAAACCGAGTTGCTCATATTTGTTTATAATTTCTGTATGTGCATCACTATGGCTCATATGCTATAGACAAACAAATAATAAACTGTTTCTAAGACATAAAATCACACACATATATATATATATATATATATATGTTAAAAATTATTTAAAAAATTAAAAAGATTTTGTAAGAGAAATTTTTGTTTCTGAGAGAACTGCACTTACTCTCTTCGGCGTGCAGATTTTCTCTTTTCTTCTGTCAGTTCCTTGGGCGCATGTTGTTGTAATTTCTCTTCAATAGATGGATCACTTTGTCTATCTTCTTTTTCAGTCTGTTAAAAGACAAGTTAATGTTTATTAGTTAAACGTTTTAGAACAGAAGATATTAATAATTATAAAATATTATATATGAATGAAGGATGAACTCGATATAAAAATTGATTATAAATTAGCATAAAGAAAGTTAAGTTGTTGAAAGTGTATTTACTAAATAAACTATGTCATGTTCACTCATCATATGTAAAGAAAAAACTGGCAACACAAAGGATGGGCATTTATGTGAGTTGGAAAGACACTTAAAGTTTTAACAGCATCATGTCAAAACACTCCCTCAAAACAATAGCTAAAAAGTGAAGACAATTGAAAGAGGTATGTCACAGCAGTCCTCCTTGTACTGTAAATTTTAGAACTGCAAATCATTCTTGAGAAAATATGAGGAAAGAAAGAGTTTGTTGGAGGTGGAACAAAAATCTATAGATCTGAATGTTTTGACAGGATACACTATTCAAACAATATTTCAAGTAAGAGGGAATAAGAAAACAATGACTAACTACAAAATTAAAATTCAGATTATAGAGAAAAAAACGTTAAAAACTTAAACTTGAAGTATCCCATTTCTTAAAATGCAATATCAAGTATGGACACAGAAGAAAGTTAATCTAACTTTATAGTCAAATGAGCAGATAAACATTTGCAAGGTAATTACACAATTAGTGAATCAAAAGTTAAGTGATTATATTTTGGAAAAATCTTTTAAAAAGACTAAAATTAAATACATAAAACTTAAAAACAAGAATAGACAGGGACATAAAATATTTGTCTCTAGAAAAAATGTATTAAAATTTCTTTCATAAAGAGAAGAAATTATAATTCTAGAGAGGATCATGTTTGAATGAATTCTAGCTAATTAAAAGAAATATGATTGGTTACTTACTTCATTTGTGACACCAAGTTTGCTCTCCAATTTCTGTCTGTATTTTTCCATGCGTGAAGAGAAATCCTTGTAGCGTTTATCTACGGCTGCACACCATGCCATAATGCTGCTAGCATGGATAGTACCTTTAGAAACAAAGCCATCAGCAAGCTGTAGCAGCAAACTGACATTTTCTTTAGTTTCCTACAAAAGAAAATGATTCAACATACTTTAGTTGAGAGATCTAAATAGGTATAACATAATGACAAATGTTTAATTCATTTGAATATTTTGCTTTTCAAACAAATATAGAATTATTTCAAATTCTACCAATTTCTTTAACAAAACTGTCTAATGGAGTCATTTGTCTTGAAATACTTAAGATATTTACAAAAATTGCCTTTCAAAAATTTATTTTATACTCATTATGCATTCTAATGAACAAAAGTCATTCATAAAATGCTAACTTTTTCAAATCATGCATAAAAATGTACTAAACTAATAAAAACATTTTAAAATATTTTTAGTTATGAAAAATACATCCCGCTCCACAAAAAATATCAAAAATTTAAGTTCATAGAAATAAGATTTATCATAAATGAAAATTTGTAGAATAAGAATAATTTTTTCAAACTTATATTTGAAGAGAACATCTATTCATAGCTACTCCCCAAAACTTACTTTAGCTCTGCCTCGAAATTCATAATACTCCTTTAATAAAGTATCTGTTTCTTCTCTGGTTTCACCAACACTTGTATGTGTTGATAGGTATGCTTCTCCAGAATCATGGATCCAATCTAAAGCCTATAGCATAGTAGAAAGAAAAAAAAAAGAATTTTGTTTTAAACTAAAAGCTTATTTTTTCTTTTTTTTTTTTTTTTTAAATAACAATACTTTATTATAAAATGTTAAAGAGAAAAATAGATATATTATTTGAAGTAAATATCAGAAAATATTTTTAACCTCTATACGACATTAAAACTTCCATTTTTCAAATCTAAATATTACAAAAAGGTACTGCTGCAAAGTTATCAGTCATACCAAGAACTTTTTAGCATTCTTCAAATATTTTGTGACAGTATCTTGATAAATACTGCAGTAAATAATTTGCAGTGATTAATGTATAAGGATATTAAAGCATTAAAAAAAAACAAAAAAAAAAAAAAACACCAAAATAAGTAAAGATATCGAAACTTGTACTTGAAGATATTCCAAAAAATTACTAACCTGCTTAGCACTTTGTTCAAACAAAACATATTGATGGCATTGTTCCAATTTTCGTTTTTTGACTGTCCAATATTCTATCACAACATTTTCTTGTTGAAGGAGCTGGTCTAGAGTGGCTAAAAAAAGTAAAATTCATCCTATCATATCAATATCCTTAATTAAAAAGTAATAAATTCATGTTGTTGCTTTTGTGTATAAAATATAAAAATGAATAACCCAAATATTAGAGAAACTTTAATGACAAAAATAACGATGTTCAGCAATTAAAAATGAAATATATAAAGAAAGACATTAGCACTTGGGTAAAGTGGTTATTCTAACAAATATTTATGCTGCTTACCAAACAAACTATAATAATTTTATATAAAGGTTTAGATAAAGAAAATTTAAAGATATATGCAAACCTTTTACATGAGATTCAGGATTTCTATACTTGACTTCCATCCCTAATGTGTGGAGATTACGATTAACATATTTCAGGAATGTCTCTGCTGTTCGTCTTGCTAAGGTACATGCCTGTAAAGAAACAAAGTATATTATTAAAGATGGTTTTTATGCTTAGCCAACTTTTAAACCTTCTTACAAGTATATTTTGGATGATAAATACAAAGGACAACATAACATTTTATTTTAGATGATTCAAATAAACGTCAAATTATAAAATAAAAAATTCAGCTGCGTTTAGATATTTACTTGCATGATTTTTGAAGTTTAAAACTGATATACAAAATCTTTAAAGATCTTTAAAAATATTTTTCATAAATTTAGTAATGTAAAAAAAAAAAAAAAATCTAAAAGGTTTACATCATTAAACAATATTTTATGTCATTATACAGACGTACCTTTAAAAAGGCTTCTTTTTGTTCATTATGTTTGTTAATTGCTTGCACTAAGAAAGCTGCTTTGTCTGTGCAGTTGGCCTTTTCAGTGCTACACCAATCTTCATCTCGTTTATAGTCTCTGTCCAAACTCTCAAGAACTGACCACACCTGCAGAAATAAAATTGACAAATCATTAGCAAAATGAAACTACAAACAAATGACAAAAAGTATCCACTAACTAATATGACAATTAGGCAAAAAGAGTGTAAATGTGATTGTTTACAAATTTAAACTTAAAAATTAACTTTATAAGCTTCTGGTTTTGTGCTTTTTTTATTACAAAAAATAAATAAAAATCATATAAGAGTTAAGTATAGCATAAAGAATACACAAAATTAGTTTTAATATTATAGAGATGTAACAAATTAATTTGAAGTTTGCAGTGACATTTGATCTTCTAGAACATTACGCACTTATCTCAAGTGTTAATTCACAATTTAGTTTAGATTAACATTTTTGCCTTTGTTACACTTAAACAACCAAGATGCCAGTTCAAGTAAGTTGCAATTAAGACAAAGACAATTTTGTAATTCTAAAGTTTCTTTAAGAACTCACCTGTTCAGCTGTTTTGTACCATGTCATAGATGCCATGACCAGTTTGTGTCGTTCATCAGCATGATACATCAATTGTTGCCACACTACATTCATTTTTTCTGCAATTGCTCGTACAAATTCAGAATTATAATGGTTACCCTGTATCATGCTTTCAGCCTTTTGAGTAACTTGAATGACACTAGCATGGGTTTTCTAGTAAAAAAAAAAAAAATAATCATTTTTGAATATTTCTTACAAAAGGTTGATTTAGAAATTCAAGATGTGACAAAAAACAAAAACATGATAATTTAAGTAATAATTATGAAATCAATGTACCAAGTCCAAGTTTACAAAATGTGTTAATTGTAAGAAAAATGTTATCAATATGTATGTACAAGTATGTTAATTGTAAAACAAAAAAATACACACACAAAGAATCAATTTATACAATCATTCTAAGAAGAACTATATTCTTTAAGCATTTGTTTAGCAGCATGGCTTTGACATGTATAAAACATTACATATTGTAAGGTTCATATCTCAAATCAATGTAACATTGCAACAGAATTAGACCAATTATTTTTGCAAATGTAATCTTCAAAAATCTATAACTTATCATTACAGAGATGCATTTCACTATTCTGCAAGCTAAAATACAATCAGGATTTTCAATTCCAAAATTTTGAATCTCAAACTACTCAAAATCGTAATATATTTCTAAATAAAAGATTTTACACTATAAAGAACTATTTAGATAACAAGCAAAAAATACCTGTATGAATAAAAAAGTGATGAGAAAAACTTTTAAAGACAAACCTCAATGGCATGCATAAACTGTTCGTGTTCTTTTTTGAGTTGTTCAGTCTCCATTAAATTATTTGGACACATAAAACTAGCAGTCAGCATGGTCTCACCATTTTGGATCCAAGAAACCACCTAGAATATAAAATAATTTTAATGTTACAAACTATAAAATTATGAAACTGTTAATCTTCATAATTATAAGTTATGCGTTTATTTTAAGAACAGCAAACTTTTTAAAAAGTCTAGAATACAAGCAATATTTTTGTTATCATTAGTAATAATTGCTAAAATTTATTTTAAAACACTTATTTTATTTATAATCTATAACATCACATAACTTCTGATATAAGGAAAATTCAAGAAGGTAATATTGGTATAAAATGGGTTGTTATGTAAAATTAATCTTTTTCTTTCAAAGTTAATTTTACTTAAAAAGTTATGTTAACTGAAATGATATTTCTTACCTGCCTAGTTTCAAACTCAAAATTACGCAATTGGACACATTGTTCAAGACGGATACGACGATTTTCAGCTAAATTCTCCAAATCCAGCTCACGTTCATGCAAATATTCCAGCAATAACTGGATTCTGGTCTGAGCATCATACTGTGAATCTGCCATTAGTTGGATGCCAGTGTTCTCAAATAACTGTACAAGAAATAAAATACATAACAAAAGCTTAAAATAAATTTTAATTGAAAGTTACAAAAAGTTTGAAGTGACAAGCTAGTCTTATAGGTATATTCCTTTTAAATATGTAAATAAAATAATAAAGGAAGAAAAAAATAGGAAACTTAAAGTCTAAAAAGGAAACCTAAGTATAGATTTCTCTTATAATCAACAGAAATAGAATATATATAAATAGTTTAAAAAGAATTTAAATATTTTTAAGATTACTAAGATTTTGCAAAGCTTCTAAGAGCCAAAGTTACTTACAATTGGATTTATACTCTCTATAAATTCTATACTAGTCATAAATTTTATTAGCATTTCTTAACAAAAAAGTATGCACTAAATAATAATGAAGTCAATAAAATTATTAAGGCAAGATTACAAAATTAATATAAATTTTTGGATTTGGTTTTGACAAATTATTTACATACAACAAGGAACTAGTTTTTTTCATTAATTTTTTTTTATATGTAACTCTTTCCCTTTCTACAGATAGAGAATTTGTAATTATTGCATGTGATAAATCTTATACAAAATGGATATTCATTCTCTTATTGTTTATGAACAATTTCTTATTCAAATTTAAGTATCAATAATGGGAAATATCCTGATAAATTGCACAGTGTTTAAAAAAAGTACACTTCATATATGAAATTTAAAAATACAAACTCATTTTTAATAGTCATCTCATATGATAAAAAGTTAATCCTTAACCTAATAAGAAAAGCTTAATTTCTATTAACAGGAATCAAAAAAAAAAGAAAAGAAAAAAAAAGGAAAAGAAAAAGAAAAAGAAAAAGAAAAAAAAGGAAAAGAAAAAGAAAAAGAAAAAGAAAAAGAAAAGAAGAGTTACCTGACAAAGTTCTTGGCCTCGCTGTAAGACCTCAAAAGTACAATTCTGCATATGCAATACATTATCATTATGCATTTGAAGGATTTGTTCTGCTTTAGCTGCATCATTGCACATTTCCATATGTTGGAGTTCTTCTGCCCACAATTCTAACTGGGAAGATACCTGTAAACCATTTGAATGAAATCAAATTTTAGAATTGTAATTCATTAATCTTACTTATTATAAAACGCAGATTGTGTGTGTGTGTGTGTGTGTGTACGTTTATATATTGGATTGGATTTCCTACATTTTTCAACTGATTTCAACAAAATTTCACAGGACTATGTAAAATTACCTTGCGGTGGTTCTGACAGCACCCAAAATTGGAAAAACACAATTGTTTTTGCACGAAATCAATTTGAAAACACGATAAAACATTATTCTGTCTCCAGAATGAAAGGGGGACAACTCATATCGAGTTTACTTATTATAAAACCCAGGTTGTGTGTGTGTGTGTGTGTGTGTGTGTGTGTGTGTGTGTGTGTGTGCGCGCATTTATATATGGGATCAGATTTCCTATATTTTTCAACCGATTTCAACAAAACTTCACTTTTTTTTGGCAGGTAGTGTTTCTTGCATACTTTCTTTATTTTTACATTCAGATTGCTTTACTGATACCATTTACTGAATATAGAAAACTGCATTTAAAGACTTTTAAACTAAGAGTTTTAGAAAAGTTAACTAATTTTTCACATAGCTTGATCAGAATAGATGTTACATAGGTCATGAAAAAACTGCTACAAAATACATTATTTTCTCTTTCTATATCAATATACATCTTTTTAAAAATGTATTAATAACAAAATGTTTAAAATTTTTTTTAACCCTCTCAAGTATGACAACCAGGACTTAACTCAGTTACTTTGAATTAAGTTCTTAATTTAAATGTTATAAGTTTTAAAGAGTGGGATTGAAAAACATAATTAGAGAGGCAGATCATAAAAAAATTAGTGCACAGTTGATTGTCAAAAAAAAAAAA